CATTGGATTGAATGCCTTTTTCTATCTTTAAATAAAACCGTTATTTAAAGGATTAACCATATATTGCAAGGATTTAATTTTGCTACAAACGGCTTGCCATACCCGAGCCCGCGTTGCCTCCTTTTATACTTCCTTTGAACGTTCACAGGATAGAGAAAGGGAGAAGGAGAGAGTGGGGGAGAGGGGGAGAGAGATCCCTCAGGTAGCCTGGGTAACTACCTCTCCCACGGCTTTCCGGCTGTGGCAGAGTATTTCTAATTAATGAGAGCAGGAGGGAGCTGAAAAAGAATACTCAGTCAGAAACTTAGTTTTTTTTACCTTCACAACAAAACTGCAAGTTTTTTTCCTCAACATGAAATAACCTGTTAAGTGCCAGGTAACGACTGATATTAACATGTGGACTAACGCTTAACGCTTGGGAAAACTCGAAACATTTTCTGTTAGCCTGCTTGAGAAGGAGACTGGTATTTAATTAGATGAGCTAAAAAACTTGGTTGAATCTGTTTGCTATGTAAAGAAAGATGAAATGTCGGCTTCACCAGAGGATCACGCAAGGACGCAGTACACATCTGCATCAATCACTGTCAACAGAGGACTGATTCAGTAGCTGTTTTACGGCGCCAAGATATTCGTAACCAAAAAGCTCAAAGTCATTGCGATATTGCTCGGCAAGCCTAGTAATGTATTCAGGGGCAACTGTGGAATAATAACTGAATATCTCACGTGAGCTGGTCGAATTATGTATCGGCGGGAACTTTACACGATCTTCAATTCCCGCCATCTTTAAGAGAAGACTGGCATCCTCCTCCAAGGTTTCTAAGTGACCAATAAAATCGTAGTTTATGACGCAAGGATGGCAAAGATCCTCGTATTGCCGCCAGTGTGGATTACGTGCTTTGACGTCACGGGAGTAATACTGGACGAATTCTGAAAAGGTAACATTATTATCTCCATTTGGGTCAAAATCCTTGGGTCGAAAGACTTTCACAATTACTTTTCGAATGTTTTTGCTAAAGTTACGATTCTTTCCGATAAATTTGTCTTTAAAGGCAGAAAGGAGGCGATGCAGAGGTTCCCCAACAAAAACAAATTTAAAATAAGTTTTAAGTCGAAGCCACTTTTCTTTTTCCTGGTACTCATTGAGACGACGCCATAAGCCTGGTCTGTGAACGAATATTCCTTGCTTAAGCCCACGTAGATCTGCCAGCACCCTTTTCCAAGTTGTCGAAGCTACTTTCGGGATTGTGCAAAACATGATTTTATGCTCATCATCTACAACAATAAATTTAAATTGTGTTTTGGTTGGTATTTTTTTGAATCTATGCTTTAGACAGTAGTCTTTAAGATGGCGCTTTCTGGCTGTTTGTCTCTCTTCTACTGAGCTCGGTGTTGACTCTGGAGTAGTTTCCTACAAAATGAAAGATTTACATCATAATTAAAAACCTTGTTGATGAATGTTTTATGGCATCATTAAAACCATAGCTAATTCGTCCACTTGATCTAGCTCTCTCAAATCATATTCAAAGAATTAGGTTACCTCTGTTCCTCTAGTCTGAAATGATACTTTTCGAGGTATATTTGCTGAAAACAAAGTAATATGTTAAGTGATAGATCGAAGAAGAAAGACAATGTTTGACCATTTTTCCAAACACTCAGAAGAGAGCTGAAAATCCGATACGCAGCGGAGTATTTTTAATGAACGTCGAGGTGTTTGGAAATGTCGTTAAACTCTGTCTTGAGTGTTTGAGACATCTTCGCAATCGAAACTAAAGCAAAGGAGAAAGTGAAGAAATCATCTGGGCTTGTATGTCCCGGTATACAGTGTATATTTGGTAGGGAAACGTTCGATGTCAGATGGCCACAATGGGATCGGAGTGTAAGTGGTCATAGAAATTGAACATAGTAAATCAGTGAAGCCTTCGTGTTTAACTACAGCTCGTATGTTTATGATTTCCAGCTTTCCAAAACTGTCACTTAATGCAGTTTGTGCTTGCGAAGCGACATTGACACTAAAAAACTTGTCACTTATAAATAAATAATATAATCGCGAGTGGATTTCTTGTTGAAAGACTTATCTTATTTTGTTTAATGTAAAGCAGTCAGATAGACAAGTGTGCCTTGTCGTTTTAGTGTGGCAAGCAAATTTTAAGTTTCAAAACAACAAGAACAGTTGGATATAATATATTAACGCAACAGTATTCGTGAAAGAGTACAGAACGAAACAGCCCTCAGAGTTTTTGCCGAATTGAGTTTTAACAGCTGGCATAGAAATGTTGCACCACTGGCAAAAATTTCGTTTTGATAAAAATGAAACGAGATTTCAGCAACCAAATTTTATCTTTCATTCAACTCAGCCGGGAAGTATTTATTTTGCCAATAATGAGTTTGAAAAAGTCATTTTCTGTTCCGTACCAATATGTATGATTTTTTTGTTATTTTCGGTTAAAGCTTTCACAATATCAATTCTGGGATTTCATTAGCTTTGGGAATATTGTTGCGAGCTATACATATAAGATTGGTTTTCATCGTTTCTTAATTCAGGTGTGGGGCACCTCAAAAGAACGTCTCAACTTCACGGCATTCATTAAGCATTTGTACCGCTTACCCAAATGTCCTCTGCTGATTATATGGTCTGATATCATCTCAGAACTCCAATATAACACCAACATAAGCGTTGGTTGCAAGAGTGGGAGAAACACTGTCCTTGACCTTATGTTGAACATTGCAAACCAAACTGATGGATAGCTGTTTTTCTGACACGATACCAGCTTGATAAACGAATTACGCTGACCAACAGTTATAATCAGTCATGCTGTTTGCAATTCTTATCGCCCAGTCAAACAATACAGCTTACCAAAAAACATCACTGAAATGACTGAATTGTCTTGTAGCCTTGGATTCTCAGCTCACTAAAGGGTCGAGTTAATAATCTTGATATCAGGCGTATTTTAAGGCAGATAAGAAAGGTGTCGTGACATTTTTTTAATGGACAATCAAGGATTTCAGTATTTGCTGTGAAGATTTCGAATGCAGATTGACTTGTTTTTACCTGCCCAGTTTACACTGAAATAACGATTTTGAAAACGTCTGGTTATGATATGAAAGAGAGAATGATACAATTAATAAAGGAAATGAGAAGTGTATTTAGTGACGATGTTTTACGAAAACCACTCCTTTAGTTCGTTTATCTTAGAATCAGAACTGAAACAATGTATTCTACTAACGTCAGGTTATGTACTGACTAAGAATTAAAAAAAAAATCTGATGCAATGTCAACAAATCTGTAAGATCATCAATTTAGAAAGAGCCAAGTCTAAACAGCTCGATGGCTTGAGTAGAACAATATCGGGTCTTCATGTCCGCTTTTAATTAGTGGTGGCGAATGGTCCTTCAAAAACCCTGGGTCTCACAGTTTCGTTTTTTAGCTGTTATGTGTGTCTCGCAGTCTAGATTTTTTTTCAAAGCTAAGAAAGTCACAAAGTACCGAGAGGTTTTCATATTTTTTATGTAAGCTTAAATGACCTCTTAGAACCTCAACGTCTCGAGCTCGCATTTAAAACACTTTGAAGCCTCGGTTTTGCAATTGAAGAAGTCAAAATGTCTCGGGCTCACAAAGAAAAACGCTAATCTCTCCTTCTCGCAAAGTCTTGCATTTAACATTCACCAACCCTTTAATTGGCCACTGTTCTCTGTACAGACTCACGCTGAAATCAAGTCAGTGGCAGGCTTGACTTTCTGTTTTGTTTTTTGATTGGAACAGCGGTGGATCTTTATGTTGGCTTTTAATTACCAGCCACTGATTTGTTGTAGGCAGCCACGATGACTCAATTTGAAAAAAACTTGGCAAACTTGGTGTCCTTTCTTTCCTTTCCTTCTTACAAATCGCAGAAAATATTTCTTCGGGGCATTTGCTATTTCCATTCACCCTGGCACTCACAGAATGAAATCAATTTTTCTTTCACGAAAAGTTATTATTTTAGGAACTGGTAAAACGTGTTTGCACCTGTTTATTCCTTAAATTCGCAATGACTTACAAACATTTCTTGTTTATAGAAAGTGTATGTTAAGAGAATATATTGGAATATAATATAATATAATATAGAAGGTTAAAACGGTGGAAAACAGATTTTGAAGGGAGATGGTTGACTTTCAGGTCATCTGATGAGACACTTCTCGCCATTATTTTAATAGATCATTTCCATGTGAAGTCATCATTTCCTAAAATCGAAAACTAAAGAGCCACCAAAGTTATTATCCCCATCAGGCATAAGAGGGGGTAAAATTATATCTGTTTACAATGTCACAGCTCAAGTGTGCATTTGAAAACAAGCGTATTTTGAATTTCAGAGTTATGGCGCTGCGCGACACAAAGCTACAATCGCATTTGTCGAAAAATATATACTTATCTCATGATTTTTAGCTTTTTTAGCTTTTTTAGAAGTTAGACCATTAGGAAAGTGCTTATGTAAATGTTTGTTTGTTCAGTACAGATAGTCAGTGGCCTAGATAGCCAAAGTAAGTTTCAGGTCTTAACACTATTTTCCGGCTGCCATATTGGTGCACCACAGAGGTGCACCAACATAGCGTTTCCATACTGGGCTCCGTTGCAACGTGTAGTAAAAGTGAACGCAAAACCCATCAAGTCGCTCAAATTCGCCATTTTGAGCCACAGAAACGACAATACACAACAACTGAGG